GGCACGTCGCCAGGGGCGAATTCAATATCGCATTCGCACCGTTCCTCGTCCAAACTCCACCATTTCCACCCCGCCTCCACCCTCTTTTCACCGTAGCGTTGTTCCATCCCCTCCGCGAGCAACGGTGTGCCCTCCTGCGCGCTACCTCTCGCACCCCCGTGCAACACCCTCCCGCGTCCCACCCACGCACCCCTCGCATTGTCCCTCGCATTGTTCCGAAAGTTTTCGCCGGAGCCGCGTACTCACTGCGCCACGCGCGATTACCATATGAATTAAAGTAATGTGATATACGATCGCGCGAGGACTGTTCGGCGTAGAGGCTCGAAGAAGGCGCAAGGCCGCGCCGAGGAGGACACCCTAACGCCGGAAGCTATCTCGAGACCGGCCCGATCGGAACGACCTGCCTTCTCTTGGGTTGATCCACCCGGATCAGTATTACTTTAGTTGGTAACTAGTTTGTCATACTGTTGAGAGCCTGAAGCCATGAAGCGTCAAATATTTCACTTTTAATTTACAGTCGAAACTCTTGGATTATATGATAGCCTCATTGTTCTAATAAGTTAAAACGAAGAATCTACATTTAAATTAAAGGAAGATTGTTTGGGTAATCTAACAAAGTAGCAACTCTGAAACGACTACAGCAAAAATTGGAGTATTTGTGACCGATTGATGAGATATTTAGGAAATAAAAATTTTCGAATGGACAGATTAAGAGAAACATGAAAAAAATTAAAAAAGGATGAGAGATTCGAGATGGAAGATGATTCCTCGCCTTCGATATACCGAAAGAACGTTCCGGCAATCAAGAAACAGCGGTATCGCCGACGATTCATTTACCCCGGAGAAGAAGCTGCGCGCGTGGCAGTTCCAGATGCGTTCAGATAAGAAGCTCGACCCCGAGAGCCGAGAGAACTCGGTTGGTTGGTTGGTTTAAAACAGCGGCGGGTTTCCCTCGATCGCCTCGGTCTGCGGTGCTCCGTTAGAAACGATTTGAGAGCGGGCGCACAATGGCTATCGGTTTTGACGGGGCGCGTAGCACGCGTCTCTGCTTTCTGGCCGGCGCGATATCTCGATCGCAATAAATTCACATTAACCTATCTGCTGGTGTGGCCTCGGCCGCAGCTTTAATACATCCCATCGGGCTGCCCGCCCCCTATATCGGTCATGGATCCGCGCCCTTGTCGGCGCCGATTTAAATTTTTCAATTTTACGAGTCTCGTCTTCTTTCTCTTCTTCCTCCCGCCTTCTCGCCCATCCATCCCCTTTCTTACTCCGTTTCTTCTCGTCGAATTTGAAACAAAGTCACGATACGACGGTAGTAACTTTACTTTCTTTGCTTTTATTTCAATGTGTAGCCCAGGGCCCGATTAAACCAACTCTTGCCTGGTTAAATCTACTCTCGTTTGAACGTGGGTTCTTATTGTAAGAATGGGGAATCGTAAGTTTTGTTACGATTAAAAAAAAAAAACTTATTGCAAGATTCGAAGATCAAATTTGGTATGGATAAAAATTGATGAACAGTATAAGTATATCAAAAGCGTGAAAACAGGTAAAGAATTAAAGTTAAACGACGCGACTCACAATGACCGGTGTAAGGCTCGAACATTAATTTCTAGTAATTATCAGAGGTGTAATTCACTTGGGAAGGGTCCCGGGTCGCGTCCGGGGTCGGCCAGTGCGTGTTAACGCCGTTGTTATGCCCCATTATATTGTCCTACCTACACGCCAGCCACAAAGGGGAAACGGCAACTCCGCGCAAACGACAAACAGACCTATTTTCAAAATCCCTAGTCTCCGTTTTTTGCTCTATCTTGGTTGTAAGAAAAAAAAAAGAAAAAAAAGAAAGAAAAAAATTAAAAAGATAGATTTCTCAAGTCATCCTTCTGAAAAATGTTACGGCCACGAGTGGTAATGTAAAAACCATGAATTGTTTTGCGACGATTGTTGGCGATCCACCGAGTCGCGAAATGTTTTTTAAGGCAGCGTGGAGCTTTTTCAGCAACTTATCACCGCGAGTCGCATCGCGAAAGATGATTCATCGAGGCGTAAAGTTTAAAACTCGAGCAATTGTACGTCGGAACAATAGTGAACGGCGTCACCGCGTAACGAATCGCCGCGAAAATTGATAAAATATTATTAAACCCCACCCCGCCGGGGTCCGTCGACCAAGAGATAGCATTACTAATTTATTTAAATGGACTTATCTTTCCGAAGCCCCGATAGGAATGTAAATTGAACCCCACTGAATCAAGGGAGTAATGGCACGAGTAAGATAAAGATATTTTATTGCTTTGCGGTCGGACATATTTAAGCGGGGTGGAAAATCTTTTTAAAATCTTCCTCTCTCTCTCTCTCTCTCTCTCTCTCTCTCTCTCTCTATTTCTCTCTCTTTCTCTCATGTATTTCAACATCATCAAAAATCCTCCTACTATTTTTACTATTTTAACATAAAAGGAAAATTATCCTTTCTTCCTCAACGTTCACGAAAAATGAATCTTCCGAAATTTCGAAACGCCTGTCCAAACATGTAACCTTGAACGTCAACGGGAAACACCGCGATGCACGATTTACGCAGCTCGCAATGACGAGAAACGGAAGCTGGCGAGGCGAGGGCGCGATCGTGCGGCTGGACCATCCGCAGAGGGATGAAACGAGCCTCCGAGGGGTGGGGCAGGCAGGAGGGAAAAGTGCGCGAGAGCCAGGGGGATGGGAGAAGGTGGTGGATCCTCTTCTGCACCTTGATTTACTGTCGGCGATATTTTCTCGTCGGCGCTAGTTGGCGCCTACCGCACCACCGCACCCGACAATGGTGGCCGCTTGACATTTTGTTTCGAATTATTGCTCGCCTGGCCAGTCCTTTCTATTTCAGCCTCGACCACACGACACCGCTGCGGTCTGCTTTTTTCCCCAGACAGCTCTTTGTCGAGCCGCAGAGACTACGCGCGAAAACCGTGCGCAGTATCCGCTTCGAACTCGGCGGCTGCCCGCTCGCTGCGGATTTACCGCCACCCGCGACTGGACAAAAGGACTCAACGATGCCGGCGATATGCCGGACACGACCCCTTCAACTCGTGTTTGTTCTCATCGTTCGAGAGATTTAGACTGAAATTCTCTGGTATTTTATTTTTCTTTTTTTTTTTTTTTTTTTTACTAAAAGAGAGATGTCCTCTATTGCAATTGGCAGACACCTCGATATCGCGTGTGAGAAAGCGACAGACAGATATCGGAGCATATGTCCTGGAAAAGTGGAGACGTGAAAATCATTTAGCGACGGCTGGTTGAGATCGAAACGCCGAAGCGGGGATCATCGTGAGACCGATGTAAGCTGCGTGTTCGCAGTCAAGTTACATAATCGCGACGAAATAGCGTGGCTAATCGGAAATCGGGGTGACCGACTGGATTGGAACCCATCTTTCTAGTCGACCCAGCACTCACCTATAAAACCCTACGGTACATATTTTAAAAACGAATACTGCTTCTCCTACGAACGAAATACTTCTCTCTGTTGTTACATCGATGAAAGAACGACGGAGCAAGTATATCAATTGAAGATATGATATCGAGAGATGAGTCACGTCTTGCTCGATCTTATTCGAGCTCGAAGGGAACGTGAAAGGGAAGATATCGAGCGATCGACGTAGCGTATGTACCACTCTCGCGTCGAAGACGTGACTCGTCTGGCGAGAATCGGCAAACCGAGAAGTTAATGTCTTGGAACGGACGCCATATTAACATATCCGCGTCCAATCGTCGCCCACGTGGCAAGGGCTGCGCCGTGGCAAATCAGCCCGGAGCTATGACATTGTCATTATTTCACTGACAGAACAAGCATGCGCATGATTCTCCACGGGGTAGAAGTATCGCTAACAAGGGTGGGAAGACCGAGCGTCTGATCGGAACCAAGGGGGATGAATGGTCACGATGCTCCTTTTAAATCGAACCACCGAGCATAATGGCCAGAGTCTCTTTCAAATCCACCCCCGCCGTCGCGCGATTCGCTCTTATTGAATCGTCGCGGTCGTCGATTCGTCGATTGATACTTTTCGTCAACGTTTCGTGACAGTAGGAGAATGATTCCTTCCTGAATTCAACATCGTACCGCTGGAAAAATGAGGGCGACGATATAATAATAAGACAAAAGGGAGAAGAAACGGAAGCGTCAGGAGGCGGATTTGCTCGTTAAACGGAAGAAGCAGGCCACAGTGGCCAGGGGATGATGGGAATTTTCCAAGAGGTTCTTCTTTCTAGTTTTATAAGGGATACCACTACTCTCGCAAGCCCGTGGGCTGCTTCGTGTTATTTATCTTTATGGACCTCGGGCAGAGGGTAAGTACACTTACTCTCGGAGTAGGGGGTTAAGGGGCGAAGTTAAGCCGGAACGAGGGTGGTAAGAGATTGTTTGTCGTATTGGCTGCGGTTTCGACGAGCTTAACGTTACTCGTTTAGGGGATTTCTCTGCGGTTTTTCTCTCGAAAGGTTGATACCATCCCCGTGAATGGTCTTCAGGGACTCTTCCAACGTGGATATTCGATTCAACAAGTCAATGTTCGCACACGTTATTTTAGAAATATTTAACAGTTATTTCTCTTTGCAATTGTAATTTTTGTAACTAATATTATACGAGTAAATTTTTCCTCCCTTCAAAAAAAAACAGATTTATTCGAGTTATTTTTGCGAGTGTACGAGTAGAAAGAGATTTCAAGTGGTCAGAAATTAATCCATTGCCGTAATCGGCTTTTGATGGGTCGGTCCAAGAAAGGAAGAAATAGTATACGAAAATAACTTTAATACCTTAATACTTCGATTCTCTTTCGAACGAAAGAGTTATTACCCGCGGTGAACTAAGTGCAACCAAGGAAGAGAAATACGGTGACAAATAACGTAAAAACTTCTGCTACAGAAAGCAAGGAATTTACAAGATGGAAGAACGGATAACGAAACGAAGAAACGGGTAAAGGATGTAACGTTCGCAGAGTCCTCTTCACGGATATCCCTTTTATTCATTAACAACGATCCCGAGTATACATACAGTGCTTATGTACAGAATGATATTTACAACGTGACACGCCGTGTAATAAATAATTCTTATGAAACAAAAAACAGAACACGTCGACGGTCATTTTACATCTTTTGAATGACGAGTCATTTACACCTTACATAGTACGCATGTATCTAGAACAACGTTGTATGAACCGCAATATTCTAATAAAAAACGATGGACGATACAGAATTGTTATCTGATAACACAGACTATTCCACAAGTTGTCGTCACGACGTCAAACTCTCCCTCCTTCAAGGATCGAGGAGACAACATCCCCATTCTATTAAAATCGAAAAGAAAAGGAATCGTATATATACACACTACTGCAATTATTGCTGTACAGAATACTGTAGCGTTTTATCATTCTTAATTCTTAAAGAGATTTATTCGATCCTGTTGTTTCGAATCCCATCTGCTTCTCCGTCCCGATGGCTTTGATAAATTCCAAAGCGTCAGCTATCCACCGAATGAAAGAGCCAAAACGGGGAAAACATAGGAGCAAATGCACAGGTGAGCGAAGCACGATTCAGCAGAGCGACGAAATAAGCAAACATTAAGCCGGGAACGGAAGCGGCGATAAGTCAAGCAATTCCGGGCAATATTAAGCCACTCGGAGCGGCAGGTTAACCCTATGCTAAGCTGCACGTCGAGCAGGAGGGGATCACGAGAACCAGGAGGCGGTGCGGCAAGGGTGGAGCCGGGGATGGCTGCGGAGGTCGCGTGTATTTAAAACGCGAATGCGCGCCAGCCGATTCACTGTTTGAAGTTAAATGGAGTGTAAATGGCAGATAACAAACCGGCACTGTTTCCGATTACGGCATTCATTGTTTCCTACCATTATGCGCGCTCCGCCGGTTTGTGTGTTAGCCGGGGTACGGTTTACGATCTATTTATTGCCGCGCCACCCCCGACACACAAATGAACGCGGCTTACGTCGCGTTCTGTCCCTGCCAGTGCACGCTCTCTGTCCTCACCTGTGCTGCAATCCCCCCCCCCCCCCCCCCCCCCCGCCTCCCGCATCACACCTACCTACCAGCAAATGTGAACCAAAATGTTTCGTTTCACCAGCTGGAAAAGAAATATATCGACGATATATATATTTTTAAATGGCAAAAATTTGTTGGTTGCGCGAAAGAAGGTAACTGGGATTCAAAGAATACTCTAGCTCTTATATCGTGATCCTATCGTATCCTTAAAGTCCGATCCTAGAATAAAGTCCGATCAATCGGTGATTAATCGGGAATATTTACAAATTTCTCCTACCTAATATTGACTAGAGAGGGAATATCACCTTATCGTGCGGCTCGTAAGGTATGATCTCTTATGTTAATCGGTTAAAGCCTCTAGCGATTAGTTCGTTTATCGTACACGTATACCATTTAAAATGTAAAGTTCAGTTAAAATGGGCAAGTGCAAAAATTTCGTGGATATTCACGAGGAGCTAGTGGTAGAATAGGTAGAATGATCCTGTTTATCGAGCTACGTATATTAGGAGATGATATCTTAAAAAACTGGAAGAGCGTTTCATCTTCGTTCCGAACGAATTTCGCAAGTCAAAGATCAAATTGAAAACAGATTAATCGAGTGGTATTGTCCTACTTTGAGAACGACACCCCCCAAAGCAATTCTCTCACTTCTCCTACCGAGTTCTTAGTGTTCTTACGGCTCAAACTTCGTTTGAGTTCTTCGAAAACTCCTCGTCCTTCTTTTTTTTTTTTCTTTTTTTTTAAAGAAGGAGCATCTTAATTTTCGAACGAATAGCCACTGGTCAGTAACGTGTCTTCCGTCGACGATTTCCGTCGTCACTTGCTGTGAACAGTGGTGGCCCTCCTCTTCACTTCTACTTGATCAACAATCGCGTCGCTTTCCTTATCCTGGTGCGCGGTCATGTGCCTGGTCAGGTGATGCCTTTCTCTGAAACTCTCGTCGCAAACGGGACACCTCAGTTTCTCCTCCCTCCTCCTTCTGGCAGCCTCGGCGGAGTTCTCGTTCTTGTGATGGGACCTCATGTGGTACACCAGGTCGGAGGTCATCCGGAAAGACAGATTACATTTGGCGCAGACGTTTTGCGCGGGCAGAGTCAACGCGGCGAACGATGAGGGCAGAAGGCCAGCCACCCCGGCGGCCGTCGCCAAGAATCTTGGTCTAGTCAACGCGTCCGCCATAGGTGGAAACACGGAGATTGGATTGTACGGCAGGTTTGGATAAACCGGTGGCAAATCTGGCCGGAAGCTGGGCATCTTCGGACTGGGTACTTTGGGCGGCTGAGCGATCTGAGATATCTTCAAATTCTCCAACAGGCCCGGCTGACTACCCTCGGGACTGACTAGAAAAGGGTAAGTCATTTTCGTAGGAAACGGCGCGTATTTGTATCCAGTGGTAGCTGTCAACGGTACCACCGGCGGGCTGACGCTGCTTTGGTAGCCGGTACGATCGTCCGGCGATATGGAAGACCTTGGCGAAGTCTGTCCATCGTCGTTGAAGCCGTTCCTTTGAGCTGCCAGATTCACCTTCGTGAACGCGCTGCGAGATTCCCCGTGGCGATCGGTCGGACAGGATATACCGGTGTCGTAAACCTTGTTGCAAGACAAGTTTGGCTCTACCGCGTCGGGACAGGTGGTCAACATCGACTGATGCGTACTAAACGCAGGTGGACTAGGTGATTTCTGTAGACGGCTGCCAGAGACGTATCTCCGTGCGTCGGTATCGGGCGACAAACCTGGTAACGTCGGAGTTAGAGTCCTCGGAGATATGTACGGTGGGCTTAGAGAGTTCTCCGTGCACTGCATCATCCTCCTCCTGTCGGAGACAGCAGTATCGTTGTCGTAGCTCTTGATCGTCAAATTCTGTGGCAGTCTGTCCGAGTCCAAGATATTCTCCGTCGATATTTCCTCGCGAGAACGATCTTTCCTGCTCGATACCATCCTCATCTTCTCGCTTTGACGACGAGCGAGATTCTCGTCGGGCGCGACGAGGAACGCCACGTCGAAAGAACGCTTGCTGGCGCGTTGAAGAGGATACGAAGCGTCGGAGGTGACGTCGCTGATGGACGGAGGGCTGCACGACGTCAACGCCGTCGTGGCTGTCGTAGACGTCGCGGGGGCGGCACGGTCGATGCCACTCGTGCGATCTTCCATTGTCATCCTGCTCGTTCCGGATGATCGACCTGCGACAATGACAGCCGATGGTCAATTTACCGAGCTCCGCGGAAATGATGGATGAGAATCGCGCCTCTGTACACGAAACGCCAGGTGTTACAATTGTGCACAAAACGGGGAAAACTGGGTCAATCAGAATCGACCTGGCGAGTGATTTCGCAAAAGTTTCGTTTAAAAAGGACGAAGACCGAACGACACTTTTTGCCAGACGATCGATATCGTAAGTAGCAAAAATATACGCGTTGGAATTGTTGAAGAAATGAATTACAGGTAATACAGAAATAAAGTGCGAGTATTTAAAACATTGCGAGTGTCACGGACAAACAAGGAGAACCGCTTCAACTTTGAGTATATCAAGAATAAACTTACCGGACCACGCGTCCAACAGAGAACTCTCCCTCCAGCGATCACCGTGTAACAGCCACGTTGCTCACCCCCCGCCGTTCGCGTGTCAATCCTTCGGGTGTCTAAGACATCAGTTCACACAGTCCCGTTCCATCGGACGACGAACATGACGCTGTTCACTAGCGTCGGTGACTGCACCCGGCACAGCTGAACGAACCGATCGCAGCAATATCGAATGATGAGACACAGAGAACGAAGACGGGTACAACCGGGGGTACAACGTGCATCGACGGACCACGTTAAAATGAGGGAACCGGCCGCGCATCCCCTGTATTTAGGGGTAGAATCCCGCGGAGGGTAGCTCGGCGTGGCAGGTGGAGGCGCAACGAGGGTGGCACCGGCCAATGGCAACGTTCCCAGGGTTAGACGGGGGTGGAGCGTACGAACGGGGTGAACATATTCGGTCGTCGGGTCGCGTCTGCTAGTCCCATCCAGACCACGCCTACATATTTCAGGTTCGACACATGTGCCTGGGATCGTCGTCGACGTCGTCGTCGTCGTCTTCGTCGCCGCCGTAGCCGTCCTCGTCGGCTCTTTCCTCTTCTGCCCTCTCTCCGCGTTGCGCAACGCGTTCCGTTACCCCGTTAGCCAGAGATCTAGGGGGAAGCGGCGGGCCCGAGCGGGGCTGTAATTCTGCCTGACAAACGATCTTGAATATTTTTAACGCCCGCGCCAGCCTCCACTCCTTTTTTTATGGTCGACCTCCTGGATATTGGACGTTCGGCAGACTCGTCGAATCCGCTGATGGACCTCCACCGTCCTCGATTATTCCGCCGATCATCATTCGTCCCGATTTCTCCAACATCCATTCCTTCCGACCGAAACTTTTCCAGGCGAAAGAAATCTTTTTATTTTTCCGCTTTCGATCTTGCTTCTTCCCTTGTTTCAAACAACGTACAACGGTTTGGAGGTAAACTCGAGTTTGGAAATTTAGGACCGCTCTTGCACAGTTTCACTCGGTTCGGGTCATCTTGCGAACATCTCGTTACCGAAGAGAAATGAGGCGCATTAAATCGACCGCACTGGACAGAAGGTACCAGCAGAGCCACCAGAGATCATCATTTTACGGATTATCTTCCTGACGAATTCCTCCCATTTCTCGCCGGTTCGATAAATACCACGATCCCTCCAGGTGACATACGGCTCATACGAAAGCGTTTCCACCCGATAAGCACAATTTTTTTTTTTGTTACCCTTTCAACGCTACGCTTTCCCGCCACTGATAACTCTATCGCAACATTTTTCTTCTTTTCTTTTTAAATTTTTTTATCCAAAATCATTCGGCGGGAACCTGTTAACGTTTGAGAGATTTTTTTCACCGAACGTAAAAGTATGAAAATGGAAACTTCTAACGCGAGGTAAAACGGAAATACGAGTGAGAAAGGAAGGAGAGTGAAACTGGAGTTTCGTGCTTGAGCAATAATTCCCGCTATCGCGGAAAAAAGGAAGGAAAAAGGCTGGCTGGCTGGCTCGCGAAGCCAATAGGCGATCAATCATAAAGCTGGTGATCTATTTTGCCCGGCATGTGAGAGCCGTCGAGTTCTTACGCTCACGATTCCCGGGAATTCTGCGAACTCTGCGGGGACTGCCTAGAGGTTAAAGGACATTAACTTCTTGATTGAGTCGGCAAAAAGTTGTAATGACTTTTCGATTGGACTGGCCGACCCCAGCGGAGATTCGCGATCACGGAAGACAAAGCGATCTGTATTCAAGTTTTTCCCTGCCTTCCTGTTTCGAAATTATTTGGCTTAACAACAATTACACACGGTGAACGCAAGCGTTGTAAACATTTTTCCTCCGATATCATAGAGAGTCACTAAATATTCGTGGGTTTCCTGATCGATGTTAAGAATTGAATCATTTGACTATCAACGATGAGCAGACGATGGCGAACGATCGCCAGGCCAGGTCTAATCCTAATTCGTGATCATAAAATCGACAGGATCGTTTCGTCGTGCATTATGTACGACACGCGGCTCGCGACGGGACGTCGAGAAACGTTTCTGTATCTTTCGCCAGCCATTCCTGGCTTATGAACCATATTTATTGCCGATCGTAGCAACCTGTCCCTGCACGCTTCTCCGATGGCGATATACCGATCCCTAATTCCACTTTATGCCTCACCAACTCGCCACGCTCCGTCGACCATCCCCACTATCTTTTACCCAACGTGTCCACTCGCTATTTCTTGAAAGGAACAAAACCAGAAAGAAAAGGAAAGTAAACCTGTTGTTTTATCCGGGAAGAGTGGAAGACCCGGGTTCGTGAGAATCGTCTAGGTCTAATTTCGCAAGCATCTGTCCTCCAAACGTTGTCCTGCAAATCGGGCAGAAAGGGCAGCTTCGTGTCGCCCAATTCGTCCGAGTTAAACGGCTCGCAAGGGTCGCAGCTCGAGCGGCACGTGGCTGACACGCGTGAGCTGTTAACGCTGAATCCTACCAAGGGACTGTGTTAAGCACTAACGTTGCTTTACCGAAGGGACACCTTGCAAAGAGTGCTTTTCACTCGTTGGTACGCGATCCATCATCAATGGCGCGTCGAATTACGCGAAAATTTTTGGAAGATTGCTCGGATTAATTTTCATCTACGTCGTCTGGTCTGTCGGTCGAGAATCGATCGACGAACACACGAACTGCACGCGTATTCCTGCACCGAGTGTAGGTGTTCAATTTATTTGTCTCTTTTTTTTCTTTTTTTTTTTATTTCAAGGGAAACGACTCGACGTACTTGAGAGCAATATCTTGCGATACTTTCCGGTTGGCTGACGCTAACGCGAGGACTGCTGAGTCTGTCCGGTGATAAATATGCAGCCGATGCAGTTGATGAGAGAGGGTCGTTTATCAATCACCCATTAACGCGGCCCCAGCACTCCGTGCAGCTTTGCCGGCTCCGTCGAAAACCTGCTCGCTTCTGCCCCCATATTTCACGGAATCATCGCGATTCTCTTCCACCGGGCTTTCCCGGGCGCAGTCGATTTTCCATTAAAATCCGGCGTCCACATTGGTCGTATACAAGCCCGCCGCGTTTCAAGGAAATATTCCATCGAGATACGGCGCGTGGCTGGGCCAATCGTGCCCCTTCGGAAGCTTGCTGAAATCGTAACGTATAATCCGTGGGAATTGCGTCGATCGATGGATCGAACGGTAAAACCTAGAGAAAATATCTATCCAAAAATTTTGTGGTATCAAGGTAAGAGAGGAGGATTCAATTTCCGTGCGTATTTTGGCAACGAAAGAGAAAAATCGACGTGGAGTCTGTAGAGCGGGAAGAAACAGGGCGGTACATCCTTGAGTCCTTGATAAATTGAACGCGCGACGAGTTCAGAGGATTCTGGAAATAGCTGGCCGTGGTGTACGTCATTCGCGAGAGGGAAAGAGGTGCGCAGCCTCTGCGACGAGTGCCAGAGATTTAGATTTTACGGGCGCTTGAGCAATTTCTTGACTTATAAGCGGGACCGTGCATACCAAGTGAGCCATCAAATGTTTCTGACCGTCTTAATTCCGCGGGATCACTCTTTAAAAAGTGTCCTCGACGAGTCGGGGCCCTAATTTGTCAGGCTCTTCGCCATCTCCCTTCACCGCCGCAGAGATAATTGTCTGTTATCTTTACATCGAAGTACATTCTTTCTCTCGAAACTCCGACGTCTGTGAAATACGAGGTTGCAAAGCCAAGTACGACACAACTTGCGAGTTTGATCTTCCCGTTCAAACCACAGATACCGCAGATACGCCCGTGTCACGAAGTTTCTGCGTCAAACTGCGATCGCTCAGCTCCGTAACACGGAGTTACCGAATAATCATCGATCAAAGCTCACCCCCCCAGCATCTTGCGTCCAACAACCGAAACCACCGCAACATCGATCCTCGGTGCCAGCGAATCCAGCTTCGAGATCCACCACCGAACCAACCGAACGTCGCCGATGAAATTTGAATTCACTTTCCGCATTTACTGAGTGTGGCGGAGAGAAGTTTGCCCTCTTCTCCCTCTCCATCCCATCCCCCCCTGCACTGCCCCTCTTGTTGATATCATCCGGAGACGATATCGGCTCGACTCCGTGGTTGCTCCGTGGAGAATTTAATTCTATTCGAAGTGCCACCTAAGATGCCACCTTCGCCTCTTATCTCTGTGCACACGGTGGGCTGCGCGTGGCGGTTGCTTATGTGTTACGTGAATACCTTACCTAAACGCCCGACAGGCGAGCGTCTCTGCGTGCCGTTACCTACACCCTCTCACAGACCCCACCACCAGACCCTCGATAGAACCTCGTGCCATCCCCCGCGCTCGCGTTTCTGCCGCTGGCACGCAGTGAGAGAGTCGACCGAGGGAAATTAATGCGACTTCCAACCGGCACGAGCTATCGGACGCCGCTATCTCGCGCCTCGCTCGCGGAAAACGTGAGCCGCCTAGGCGAGAAGTTTCGGAATTTAAGTGGCGAGGCGTACGTACGCGAAACGTACGCGAGCCCCGGATTTCGGGATCGACCCGATCAGCACGTGGAGAAAATTCTACTCATCGCGGAGAGGATCGCAACGGTTGCTCGGAACGATCGATTTAAAATCGAAGAACACCGAGCAATTGCGTATAAATCCCGATTCGACGCTGGCCGAATTATGGTCTGGCGGGCGCAGGAAGCAACCAATCAAACGGTACGAATTAATGGCACGCGTAAATATTCATGGGTCATTAATCATCGGCCGTGACTGGCATCGACGCGCGAACGCGACGCGCTCTTAAGAGCTCGCCCCTTAACGCCGATTTCATCGCGACGAGTAATCGCGGAGAAGAAGTTCCGTGTAATTGATGATGATGCAGGTATCTCGAGAAACGATCTTCGTCTCTTGTTAAGTAGAAAAATAGACGAAGCACGTGCCAGAAACAGAGAGAGAGAGAGAAAGGATCGAGACGACTACGAGAATGCCTCCTCGTAGGATGTGAAAGAGTCGCGAAAGGGCCTTGTCGACGGCTTTACGATTATATTTTGCCGAAATCTTGGAAGGAGGGGTGACCGTTCCGCGTACACGCGTTCGTGGTTTTCCCCACGGTCGTCGGCGCAGGCCGTGCAGCGTCAGGGTTGGAAGAGGGTTGGAGGTCGAGGAAGGTAGCTAGAGGCCTGGAGGAAGCTGGATGGGAGGGAGTTATTAGAATGGTCCGGAAAAGATGGCGCGGAGTCGCTCCGTATTTTTATACTGTATGGCCGCTGCTTTGCATAATCCCGCACTTAGCTCGCTCGTCCCGAGATGCCGACTCGCTATGCAGATCTCCTCTCTGCTCTCTGAAAACCCGAACC